ATATTCTCTGAACTTAAACCAAGTGGTAATTGCCCTTTAACAATACATTTAATAAACAGTTTGTTATCCACAGCACGTCTAGTATTTCTGGATTTCAAGGTGAAATTGAGAGGACAAGATGGAATATCTGTATCGGTTGGCAGATTTCTTTCTGGAATTCGATGACAACAAGTCGGCACATTTTTACAGTATGCAAATTAGAATTACACTGTGGATAAGTTGGCCGGAGCATTTTTGCTGAAAATGGTTTTCCCCCCGAAACACTTGGTTGAATTCTCAGAGAGGCGATATTTTCTTGTCAAGGGGCAGTGGTAGTCTAGCATTATTGGAATTAATTATGTCACTAGTATATGCTTTGCAGGTGGGATTTGTACTTGCCTTATTCGGAAAAGATCTTTAGAAGTGAATTAAATCATCACATTGTCATTTGTTAAACAACGGCTTTTGCATAGCCTATGCAACCCATTTGATGGGCGACGGATGACGGGCGACGCACGACGGGCGACGGACGACGGGCGACGCACGAAGGGCGACGGGCGATGCACGACGGGCGACGGAAAATGGCATGTTTGGAACTGGTAAATGGCAGAATTGGGACACAACAAAAAGCAAAATGCGACGGACGACGGGCGACGGTAGATATGGAATTCCATAATTAAGCGTACCCCTCAGTGCTGGTATCGGGGTGATGCCTTGATCTTTCCTAGAACGTCTAAACCCCTACCTACGTAATCAAACACAAAATTACCCAACACAGTTACGCATGAAATACGAAATCGGGCCTAGTATGCAAAACCATTTATAATTACATCATTTTACAAACGCCACATCAATAAGAAACTGGGTCTTAAATTTACATTAAAAATCCGGTCACTACGTTATTTGCCACGGGGTAGCTTAGGGTCACAGAGGTTAGAAGTATTCCGTCACTAACTGTCACAGTGGTTACATCTTACAGCTGAGAAACCCCTTAAAAGGGCCGTTGGCCCTTGACAGCTGGACAATTACAAAACCCCGTGGTTGTGGAGATAGCGAAACCTTTATTTATAAACCTCAGTATTTGCTCATAACCGTCTTCATAAAAACATTTACATCACGTAAAAATACGCACCCTGTAGCATAAATTAAGTGGTCTCGTCTGCTCAGGTTCAGTGGGTGTTTTGACAGCATCCTTAACGTCGTCAGCATAATTACACGTGAATAAATAAATGCACCCCACTATTCACTAACTTGTTTCTCAAGGAGTTAAATTGGAACTAGTCAATTGGCCGGTTATAGATGCCAGAAGCGGAGCGATCACGGCCCGTATGTTTTCAAGTCTATAATTTGAAGCCACAACACCCAACGTAGGAAAATAGAAATAAAGTTATTGAGTCTATAGCTTGAAGCCCCAAGACCACAAATAAAAAAGTTACTGAGTCTGTTGATTTTTTTCTTTCAGC